GTGCTAAATAAACTGACTTTCTGCTTCACAACCACTATTGTACGTTCAAAGAGTTAAATCCATTTACACGCCGGGTGGCGGTAATATTTTTTGGGTGATTAGTGCATTCCAGGGACAGAAACGTACAGTTTCCAGCCAACGGCAAGCTGCAATTGACCGATTGTGCTACAATAAACTGACTTTCTGCTTCACAACCACTATTGTACGTTCAAAGAGTTAAATCCATTTACACGCCGGCTGGCGGTAATATTTTTTGGGTGATTAGTGCATTCCAGTGACATAAACGTACAGTTTCCAGCCAACGGCAAGCTGCAATTGACCGATTGTGCTAAATAAACTGACTTTCTGCTTCACAACCACTATTGTACGTTCAAAGAGTTAAATCCATTTACACGCCGGCTGGCGGTAATATTTTTTGGGTGATTAGTGCATTCCAGTGACCTAAACGTACAGTTTCCAGCCAACGGCAAGCTGCAATTGACCGATTGTGTACAATAAACTGACTTTCTGCTTCACAACCACTATTGTACGTTCAAAGAGTTAAATCCATATACACGCCGGGTGGCGGTAATATTTTTTGGGTGATTAGTGCATTCCAGTGACATAAACGTACAGTTTACAGCCAACGGCAAGCTGCAATTGACCGATTGTGCTAAATAAACTGACTTTCTGCTTCACAACCACTATTGTACGTTCAAAGAGTTAAATCCGGTTTTATTTTTGGGGTGCTTATTGAATTAAAGAGTATGTCAGACAACACGCAGAGGAGTGGCAGAGGAGGCAATGTTTCAGGAGCGAGCAGACGTGGCAGCAGAGGAAGGGGTCGAGGCAGCACTAGTCGCAGCCAGAGGCCAGTGCTCCCGGTGTCATCCAGCGGTCGTGTCTCCACCGACAACCCTGCCGTCATCGATTGGTTGACTCGGTCGTCTTCCTCTTCCCAGGTCACCTCTGACACCTACAGCCAACGGTCGGTGGGTACGTCAGACACAACCATTAGTTGGCATGGCCCGGGAGCAAGCCCACTGAAATCACGTGTCCTCGACCTGCCCCTGTCCTTTGGTGTTCCCTCACCAAGCGAAGTATCGCATGCTGTGGGCTCAGCCCCACTGTACAGTGAGGAATAGCTAACAGAGGGCGGTCAGGAACGGGGGGAGACATCCGCCTCTTCAGCAGCCAGGCGAAGAAGTACTGGCGAGGAGAGTGGCTCGGTAGCCGGTCTAGAGACAGGTCTGTCTCCTGACCCACACGCAGCCGAGGGGGCTAGTAGTGACGCGGAGACCCTAATTGATGATGATGAGGCTGATCGCACTTGGCAGCCTCGTCGTCATCAGGCTATTGCTTCCGCATCATCAGGAGAAGAGGGTGCCAGCTTGCCAGCGAGCAAAACAGTCGATGGGTTGCCCAGGAGGCAGCAGGGTCGCAGCAGTGTCACTGGAGCCAAACGGCCACGGAGTAGAGCACCAGCTCCACTGCAGCCTACCACCACGGCCAGTAGTGGTGCCGGTGCGCACGGAGGAAGTAGCAGTCAGCCAGTGAGGAGTATCGGGGGCAAAGTTTCCTACTCGGCGGTGGTGTGTGGCAATTTTTCGTCAAGCCGCCCGAGGAAGTAAACGTAGCCGTATGTCGACTATGTGGCCAGAAAGTCAAGCGTGGCCAGGGGGCCAATGTTGGGACTACAGCGTTGCGTCAGCATATGCAGCGTCGCCATTCGGTGGCCTGGGAAAACCGTGATAAAGATACGGAAACGGTGTCACGCTGTGCTGCACCTGGTATGCCTTGGCGAACGTAGTCACACAGGGGAGGAACTTCTGAGTGTAATGAACAGAGAAATCGACAGATGGCTGTCTCCGCGCAAACTGAAAATCGGAACCATGTTGACCGACAACGGAAAGAACATGGTGTCTGCTCTGCGTCAAGGAAGGTTGTGCCATGCGCCATGCATGGCTCACGTGTTCAATCTGGTTGTCAAGCGGTTCCTAAAATCCACCATCCCACTGCAAGACATCCTTAAAATGTCACGTAAACTTTGCATGCATTTCAGCCATTCCTACACCGCAAAGCACACCCTCCTTTAGCTGCAGCGGCAGAATGGAATTCCACAGCATCGCCTGATCTGCGACGTTGCAACAAGGTGGAATTCAACCCTACATATGTTAGACCGCCTTTACGAACAGCAAAAGGCCATCACCGATTTCCTGATGTTACAAGCGGATAAAGGTACTCCCCTGTGTAACTTAGATGTCAGCCATTGGCAGCTCATGCGTGACACCTGCCGCTTGCTCAGGCCCTTTGAGGAGGCCACGCTATTCGTGAGTCAGCAGGACTATGGGATGAACGACGTCATTCCTCTGTTGCACGTCCTGGAACAAATGCTGTTAACAATGGCTGGTCAGGGTGCGGTAGACGTGGCGCACAGATCTCAACGCCACATGACCCCTGTGGGGGCAGGACAGGAAGAAGAGGAGGAGGTAGAGGAGGACATTGGTGCTCAGGAATTATTGAGTGAAATGGGTGGTTTTTCCACTCAGCGGACAGGAGTGGAGGAGCAGGAGCATCTGGTAGAGGAGGAGGAGGAGACAGAGGACCCAGACGCACCGTGGCAGTATGCTGTGGAGATGGAGGCAGGGAGTCCCTCGCATTCCTTGGCACAAATGGCCCATAGCATGCTCGGTTGCTTGCGTAGCGACAGCCGAATAATAACCATCAGACAGAGGGATGACTTTTGGCTGTCCACCTTGTTGGACCCTCGCTACCGTTTCAAAAATGGTGGCCTTTTTCACACCTGCTGAGAGGGAGGCCAAAATAAAGTACTATAAAAATCACCTATGTAGTCAGTTGGTCTCTGCCTTGTGGGCCCTGTGCGCTCGTGTTCCGCTGCCATGGCAGCAGGGGAGGGGTGGGGGTGGTAGGAGCAGTGGCAGCTCCACCAGCAGCAGCTGCCTCAGTCTGCAGTCGATGATGAGTAGCTTTCTTCACCAGCGCAGTGAGGAAACTACTAACCAGCCCGCAGCAGCAGCAGCATCAGGTGGACCTGGAGCAGGACCTCAAACAACAGGCTTGGGCCTACTTGGACAGCACCCTGCCAACCGAGGTAGACAATCCCCTTGACTACTGGGCAACGAAACTTGACCTTTGGCCCCAACTAGCTGAATTTGCCCTTGAAAGGCTGTCATGCCCGGCCAGTAGCGTGGCATCGGAGCGCGTGTTTAGTGCTGCAGGAGGTATTGTAACTCCGCGGAGGACACGACTGTCCACCCAAAGTGTGGAGAGACTCACGTTTGTGAAAATGAATCAGGCGTGGATTAGTCTGGATTTCAAACCACCAGTTCCTGACACAACTGACTAAATCCGCCATGAATCATGCCCCAAACATGTTATTAGGGACAAATGGAAGACCTCCACCTGATCCGTACATTTGTATATATATTTTATTGAGAGGCTGCTGGTCGGCCGACTCATGTTTTGCACATTTTTAATGACTTATACTCTGCAGGTCGGGCCCCTCATGAATTGGGGTTTTTAAATTATTTATACTTCGCTGGACGACCGTCACATGAATTGAACCTTTTTAATGACTTATACTCTGCTGGTCGGGCCCCTCATGAATTGGTGTTTTTAAATTATTTATACGTCGCTGGACGACTGTCACATGAATTTAAACTTTTTAATTATTTATAGTCGACCAGTTCCAGACCGATGGAATAGCAATTTTTTTTAAATATTTATTTGACACGTGTTGTCCATCTCATCAATGAGGTGGACTGTTTATTTATTGGCCACGGTTTGGCCCCCTCCTGTTTCTTACATTGTTAACTTGTTGTATCGGTCACGGTTTGGCCACATGTTTGGTTGTCTTGTTAAGATTTTCTGTAATGTACACAGTTACGCTTGACTTGTCGACTTTCCACAATCTACTAAGGTATAGCATCGCATCAAAGTTTTTTTTTTTTTTTTTTGGTCTAAACCATTTCTTATAATGTCAATTTGTAGGATACGCCGCTGTAAGGCGACCTACTTTTTTGTCACTGTGTAGACATCTATTTATAGGCCGATGTTTGGCCAGAAAGATATATTTAGTAATAACCTAGCCGTTCAAGCCGCTCACTGAACACCTCGGGAATTGCTTTGTATATCTGTCGCCTTAGGGGCCGCTGTCTGGCGACATAATTTTTTGTCACTGTGTAGACATCTATTTATAGGCCGATGTTTGGCCACAAAAATATATTTAGTAATAACCTAGCCGTTCAGGCCGCTCCCTGAACACCTCGGGAATTGCTTTGTATATCTGTCGCCTTAGAGGCCACTGTCTGAACAGCTCATGAATTGCTTTCTATATGTGTCGCCTTTGAGGCCGCTGGCTGGACAGCTGATGAATTGATTTGTATATATGTACTTATTGTCCGCTGTCCGGACAGCTCATGAATTACTTTTTGTATATAGCCTTCCAAACCACTCTCAGAATAAGTCATGATATTCATGCTGTGTATAGCCTTATAGGCCAATTGTCAATCAAGTCATGATTGTTATAGTGTGTATAGCCTTATAGGCCGCTATCTTTACAACTTTATAATTCCATGCAGTATATAGCCCTATCGGCCACTTTCTGGCATCCAGTTGCTGTAGCCCCCATCACCACACTGTGCCACGGGCCCCTGTACCGCCTTCTCATACTGCTGCCAGATCCATCCTCTGCCATGTGCGTCTTTGTCGTCTGCTCACGCTGCTGGGTTCCAGCTTTAAACCTAGGCCTGTGTATGGCTTCCGAATACTGCTGCCTCCACCGCCACCCTGCGCCATGTGCCTCTGTCGTCTGCTCACGCTGCTGACGGCTTCCGCTTTTTAACCTAGGCCTGTGTATGGCTTCCGAATACTGCTGCCTCCACCGCCACCCTGCGCCATGTGCCTCTGTCGTCTGCTCACGCTGCTGACGGCTTCCGCTTTTTAAACTAGTCCTGTGTATGTCTTCCGAATACTGCTGCCTCCACCGCCACCCTGCGCCATGTGCCACTTTCGGGTCTCCTCACACTGCTGCCAGGTCCATACTGATTCATGGCCCCCTGTACCGGCTCCTCATGAACGTGGTTCAGCGGGTTTGCATCACTTAACGGCAAATCGTTGACAAATGCTGGGACGTTCAGTGTTGTGCGCATTAAGCCAGACACCAAAGGGCAGCACAGACCTGTTATTACTCGCTCAAGCATGGCTGAACAAAACCAGTCTCTACCACAAATTGGACCCAGACCTGCCCAGGGTCTCGTAACTAGATTGCACGGAGGAGTAGAGTCCGTTATCGGAATTAAATAGACAAAACGCCACACCAAAAAGAGTGGCCATTTCCAACACTTATTCCAGAAAGAGGAACAACCCGTTTCATATACGGCCCGTAGACGTTTCACGTCTGCCACATTCAGTCGATTTAAGACGCAAGCTCCACTTCCTGTGGTCTCTGACCGTCGATATACCTTTAAGTGTCAGCTTTGAAGCTATATTCCCTCCGGAGCACTGACACTGGTGCCCTTCCGTCAACATGCCTTTAAGTTTCAGTTTTCAACCATATTCCCCACAGAAGCCAAACTCTTGGGTATCCGAGAAGCTGCTCAGCGGGTCAGGGCAATAAAGCTCCCGGTTCGCAGGTTGTTCCGTCTTATGGATGGAAGTACGACGGTATATGATCTTCTTCGCACCCACGGCATTACCTCATAAAATTTCTGCATTGCATCTGCAATCACAACGCTGACTTCCCGGATCGCCACTCAGCCATTGGACTCTTGATAGTCGTCTCCCCACACTGCTGCTGGGGGGACTTTTTAACCTAGGCCTGTGTATGGCCTTCAATTGAAGCTGCTTCCGCTCCGCCACTCTGCCATTGGACTCTTGATAGTCGTCTCCCCACGCTGCTGCTGGGGGGACTTTTTAACATAGGCCTCTGTATGGCCTTTAATTGAAGCTGCTTACGCTCCGCCACTCTGCCATGGGCCTCTTGGGTATCCCAGAAGCTGCTCAGCGGGTCAGGGCAATAAAGCTCCCGGTTCGCAGGTTGTTCCGTCTTATGGATGGAAGTACGACGGTATATGATCTTCTTCGCACCCACGGCATCACCTCATAGAATCTCTGCATTGCATCTGCAATCACAACGCTGACTTCCCGGATCGCCACTCAGCCATTGGACTCTTGATAGTCGTCTCCCCACACTGCTGCTGGGGGACTTTTTAACCTAGGCCTGTGTATGGCCTTCAATTGAAGCTGCTTCCGCTCCGCCACTCTGCCATTGGACTCTTGATAGTCGTCTCCCCACGCTGCTGCTGGGGGGACTTTTTAACCTAGGCCTGTGTATGGCCTTCAATTGAAGCTGCTTCTGCTCCGCCACTCTGCCATTGGACTCTTGATAGTCGTCTCCCCACACTGCTGCTGGGGGGACTTTTTAACATAGGCCTCTGTATGGCCTTCAATTTAAGCTGCTTACGCTTCGCCACTCTGCCATGGGCCCCTGTACCGCCTCCTGTTGCTGCTGCCAGGTCCAGAGTGTGTCATGGGTCCCTGTACGGCCTCCCATTGCTGCTGACTTCATCGCCAGACTCTGCCATGTGCCACTTTCAGGTCTCCTTACACTGTTGGTGGGTTTCCATTTTGTGATAGGGTGCTGTATGGCCTTCCATTGCTGCTGCCTCCACCGCCACCCTGCGCCATGTGCCTCTGTCGTCTGCTCACGCTGCTGACGGCTTCCGCTTTTTAACCGAGGCCTGTGTTTGGCTTCCGAATACTGCTGCATCCACCGCCACCCTGCGCCATGTGTCTCTGTCGTCTGCTCACGCTGCTGACGGCTTCCGCTTTTTAACCTAGGCCTGTGTATGGCTTCAGAATAATGCTGCCTACACCGCCACCCTGCGCCATGTGCCTCTGTCGTCTGCTCACGCTGCTGCCAGGTCCATACTGATTCATGGCCCCCTGTACCGGCTCCTCATGAACGTGGTTCAGCGGGTTTGCATCACTTAACGGCAAATCGTTGACAAACGCTGGGACGTTCAGTGTTGTGCGCATTAAGCCAGACACCAAAGGGCAGCACAGACCTGTTATTACTCGCTCAAGCACGGCTGAACAAAACCAGTCTCTACCACAAATTGGACCCAGACCTGCCCAGGGTCTCGTAAGTAGATTGCACGGAGGAGTAGAGTTCGTTATTGGAATTAACTGTGAGGGACTTTTAAACCTAGGCCTGTGTATGGCCTTCAATTGAAGCTGCTTCTGCTCCGCCACTCTGCCATTGGACTCTTGATAGTCGTCTCCCCACGCTGCTGCTGGGGGGACTTTTTAACATAGGCCTCTGTATGGCCTTCAATTTTAGCTGCTTACGCTTCGCCACTCTGCCATGGGCCCCTGTACCGCCTCCTCATGCTGCTGCCAGGCCCGTAATCTGCCATGGGCCCCTGTACCGCCTCCTCATGCTGCTGCCAGGTCCAGAGTGTGTCATGGGTCCCTGTACGGCCTCCCATTGCTGCTGTCTCCATCGCCACACTCTGCCATGTGCCACTTTCAGGTCTCCTCACACTGCTGGTGGGTTCCATTTTGTCATAGGGTGCTGTATGGCCTCCCATTGCCGCTGCCTCCACCGCCACACTGTGGCTCCACACTCTGGTTTTGGCCCCGTGACTGCCCAAATGAGTGAAGTGTGCGGTGATTCTAAGATCGACGGCACTCATCTGCATGTCATACTGACTGACAGTATTATTTCTCTTCCCCAGCAGACTCCAAGGGCATTTAAATTAAAGGTACAGTGTTCTGCACTAATATAAAGGCTCTCTGAAGCCTAGAAACACCCTTTTTATAAGTTAAATTCGCAGCGAATATATTCGGCTCGAAGCGAATTTATTCGGCGAATTTGGCGAATCTGCCGAACCGAATTTTTGAATAATTCGCTCATCTCTAGTGGTATACTTGGATTTTGCAAAAGCGTTTCACACAGTTCCCCACACACAGCTAATGTGTAAGGTAAAGTCTACGGGCTTGGAAAAATCTGTATGCAAATGGAGAGTAGTGGTTAATGATTTATACTCTGAATGGTCTGGGGTCATCAGTGGTGTACCCCAGGGTTCAGTGTTGGGACCCTTACTTTTTAATATATTTATAAATGATATAGGGTCTGAGATTAAAAATCCCATTTCAGTCTTTGCAGATGACACCAAGCTGTGCAGTGGGATAATGTCCTTACAGGATGTCTTCAATTTATAAGCCGACCTCAATGCACTGTTTAATAGGGCAACTATGTGGCAAATGAGATTTAATGTTGATAAATGTAAGGTTATGCAATTAGGGGTTAAGAATATGCATGCATCATACATACTAGGGGGAGTACAACTGGGGGAATCAATGGTGGAGAGGGATCTGGTGGTTCTGGTAGTTTACAAGCTTAATAATGGCATGCAATCCCAAGTTGCAGTTTCTAAAGCAAGCAAAATCCTCTCTTGTATTAAAAAAGGTATAGACTCCAGAGAGAGAGATATCATATTACCTCTGTACAAATCAACAGTAATACTTCATCTGGAATATGCAGTTTAGTTTTGGGCACCAATTCACAAAAAGAACATTGGGGAACTTGAGAAATTACAGAGATGGGCAACAAAACTGATACAAGGCATGAAGGAGATCAGCTATGAGGAAAGATTAGAGGAACTGAATTTATTCTCTCTTGAGAAGAGGAGATCAAGGGGGATATGATCAACATGTATAAATACATCAGTGGTTCATATAGCGAACTCGGTGTAGAGCTATTCACCCTGAGGTCATCACAGAGGACAAGGGGCACTCTTTACGTCTGGAGGAAAAGAAATTTAATCTCCAAACACGGAAAGGTTTCATCATGTGGAATAGACTCCCTCAAGAGTTGGTTCTGGCCAGCTCAGTGGATTTCTTCAAAAAAGGCCTAGATTCTTTCTTAGATACACAGAATATAACTGGATACTAACATTTATAGGTAAAGTTGATCCAGGGAATATCTGATTGCCTCTCGGGGGATCAGGAAGGAATTTTTTTTCCCAGCAGGTGCAAATTGGATCGCGCTTTGCTGGGGGGGGGGGGGTTTGCCTTCCTCTGGATCAACTGTGGGTATAGAATTATAAACTTTTTTTTTCTAAGGTTGAACTGGATGGATTTTTGTCTTTTTTCAGCCGGACTAACTATGTAACTTAGTGTACTTTCCATTTTTTACCCAGCTTTTCCTCAATGAGTTATATATCCAATTTGCTATTCATGAAATCAACATAGAAAAATAATATCTCCTAAAATCCAGTACATTTAAAACCCCCATTTACTTTATCATTACACAGGAGCTCATATTTAACAAAAAATGCCCCCAATAGATATATTGGGAGCATAGGAATCTTTGGTACTATCACCATCTTTACCATATTTATACGACCAATCCAGGAAAGCGATCCTATTGAAATTTTTTCTCTGTTCATCCTTTATCTCGTTTATTAATGGAATATAATTTACCTGACATAAATTCTTTAAAGAAGGGGTTAACTTTATTCCTAAATAACTTAGTTCTTTTTCCCTCCATATGAAAGGAAAAGCTTTCTGTAAGATCTGCTTCTCTATCTTCAAAACATTAATATTCAATATCTCGGCTTTGAAGGGTTAATTTTCAGATCTGATAACTGTCCATAGTATTTTAATATTTTCATTAAGTTGGGTTACTCTAGGGTTTACGATATAAGATAACATACAATAAATAACATATCATCTGCATCTGCTGCGACCTTGTGTTCACATTTCCTAGCAAAATTCCCTTTACATCTACGCTCCTTCATACAGTCACTAATAATGGCTCCAGAGATATAACAAATAGCAGGGGAGAGAGTGGACATCCCTGCCTTATTCCATTGTACATTTTGAATAACTGTGACAATAAGCCATTAATCTTCACTGCTGCTGATGGAAATATATATATAGCTTTTTTATCCACTGTACCATTTTGAGACCAAATCCTAATGCTTCCAATGTGTTGATCATAAATCCTCAGTCTACCCTGTTGAATGCTTTTTCGGAATCTATTGACAGAATTAACACCGAATATTTCTCTTTTTCTCTTTTGCAGAAGGAGTAATGATCTTAGTGCATTGTCCCTTCCTTTTCTACCTGGGATGAATCCCACTTGGTCTAAATGTATCCAATCCGACATCAACTCTTTCATCCTGTTTGCTAGGACCTTTGCATATAAATTTGTATCTATGTTTAATAATGATATAGGTTCGTAACTGGCACATTGGGACAAATCTTTTCCCTCTTGATTGTAATATATGCCTGCAATGACTCCCTCATTTCCATCCCCTCTCCTAATGCATTCATGTACATACACATTTTAGGCACCAGTTGTTCTTTAAATTTCCTATAGTATCTCAGTGTATATCCATCTGGTCCAGGGCTCCTTCCTACGGCTATATTCTTCAATGCTGCATAGATTTCCTCCTGTGATATTGATTTTTCTAAGGCTACTAATGTTTCTTCCTCCAATCTAGGTAATCTGGCCTCTTTCAAGCATATCTGCTTTTTTTCCCTTCTTTCTCCCTCTGATTCTTCCAGGTTCTTAGATTTTATGTCATATAATTTACTATAATATTTTTGAAATGTCTTAGCAATATCAGTGGTTGAAAATACCATTTCTCAGGACTCATCTTGAATTTTCTCTATATAATTCCTCAGTTTCTTTTCCCTTAACCTTCTCATTAAATATTTTTCTGGTCTGTTCCCACACTGATATCTTTCCTTTACCACAATATTAAAGATTCTTCTCATTTCCTGTTCCATTAAGTCCTTTAACTCTTCTCTTTTTAGAGTTATCTTCTGTTGTATCTCAGTTTCTGTTTTCTTTTTATGTAGTTGTTCTAAATCATATAATTCCTCAGTTAATAACTTTATTTTCTTACTCCGTTCTTTCTTATTTTTGGCCCCTATAGAGATCAGGATTTCCTTAATAAATGCCTTATGTGTTTCCCAAACTGTAGCAACAGATACTCCTTCAGCCTCATTGAGCATAAAATATTGCTCTATTTCCTTCTTTACTCTTATTTCCATCTCTGGTTCCTGTAAAAGTGTTCATTTAATTTCCACATGTTCTTATGAAGTATGCTTAGTATCCCAAGTATATAAATACAAATAAACCCCCCTAGTGCAAAACAATGACAATCAAATACAGTGTACCCTTCCCTTATTAACAAACTTCCCCAAAACGCATATAGACTTAAATCCCAAAAAGTGTGATAATCTTATGAAGTATGCTTAGTATCCCAAGTATAAATACAAATATAATAAGTTTATCTGAACAAAAACAAAAACCAAACAAGTCCCAAAATAATAAAATAGTCCTTCAAAATATCAAAGTCATTCAAAATCTCAAAATCAACCTCCAGGTGAAGACAGCCTCCAAAGTGATTTCTGAAACCAAAAAAAACTCAAAAAAAAAGAAAGGAAAACACACATAGTGTATTATCCTTAACAACTTGAATTATTCATTCCATAACGCACGTGATTCACACAAAAACACTTGTGATCACTATATGGTAAGGTGAATAGCTGTGTAAACACGTGCCCGTGAAACAATCTAGTGATAAAAAACTGTGAAAAACGTGTCCACTTCTAGAGTGTGCAAATTAAATACCCTTACCAAAAAATTATAAAGACAAGCTTAGTAATCCTCCAG